ACTCACTTCAAGCAATTGGCTAAAAGAAGTGGACTCATTCCATCTTTTTAAATTGATTTTTTTTTTGAAAACCATGTTTTATGGAGAAACTGAGCATAGGGTGAGTTTGGGGAGCATATTTTTTGCATAATCATAGAGTAGTGTGAATCTGTAATCATTGAGAAAGATCTCTTGATAAATGATAAGTGGCCATGAGGAGATACACGGGGTCGAATTTCAGATGAGAAGCTCATGCATTAGAAAGTTTCTCTCCCCTTCACACATTGCTCACCATAGCTGTCAAGTCACTGGCATGTTGCTCTGCCCCTGAGTTCCAGCCCTGTGTGTGGTAGAATATTATTTTAAGGTGTGTGACTTTTGTTTATGCTGCATTTGTTTAACTCTGTGAAGCTACGTTACGTTGCCTGATGGTCTAATAAAGAACTGAACGGCCAATATGGAGGCAGGAGCAAGGATATAGGTGGGGCTGGCAGGCAGAGCGTATAATAATAGTATATATAAATAGAAGGAGAAACAAGGAAAAGGAGCAGCAGAGAACAAGGAGAGGAGGACATTAGGGGCCAGCCACCCAGCCACACAGCCAGCCACAGAGTAAGAGTGAAAGTAAGATTACAGAAGTAAGAAAAGGAAAAAGCCCAGAGGCAAAAGGTAGTCATGTTAATTTAAGAAAAGCTGGCAAGAAGCAAGCCTAACAAAGGCCGGGCATTCATAACTAAGAATAAACCTCCGTGAGTGATTTATTTGGGAGCTGGTGGTCAACCTCTCCAAAAGAGCCAAAAATCCAAAAGAGTTAAACATCACACTACAACAGTGCACATCTTTGTTGTTATTGTTGTTTAAGACAGGGTTTCTCTTTGTAGCCCCAGATGTCCTGGAACTTGTTCTGTGGATCAGGCTGTGCTTGAACTCAGAGTTCTGTCTACCTCTCCCTCCGGAGTTCTGAACTAAATGTATTCACCACCACACCCAGCCACACATCTTTTAATTGTACAAACATGGGGTGACTTATTGTCTTTGGCAACAGGAAGCAAACATTTTTGGTCCTGATGTCTCATCTATAGAACAGTAGTACTCCAAGAACACAGATGAAAATCACTGATTTAGCCTAATCTTGTTGCAGAGGGAGGAAAGGAAGAAGTAGATCATTTGGTTAAGGCTCAGCAGATAATTTTATTGTCCTAGAAATATGGGATCTTGTCAGTTGCATGATTTCAAATCCATCTATTCACTAATGACTTCCACCTCCAGCTATAGCTTATTGCTTAAGCTTGACCCATATGCAATATGTACTTGGTATGTACTAGTCTCCTTTATCTATGGATTCACTTTCTGTAATGTTAGTTACCCGTGGTAGTCAATCATTGTGTGAGCATATTAAATGAAAAATTCCAGAAAAAATAACTCCTAAGTTTTAAATGCTGCATCTCTTGGAGAAGCATGATGGTATCTCACACTGTCCCACTCCATACCAACTGGGATATGATGTTAAGTCATCCTTTGCCCATTAAGTCTATGCTGTATGTTCTGCCTACCACGAATCACACCATAGCACCTTGGTTACCAGGCAGTTTTCATGGATTTCAGTGCCTGTGTTCAAGTAACCCTTATTTTACTCAATAATGGTTACAGATACAAGAGTATTAATGATGAAAATTGGATTCATGGGGAGAAGCTATAATGTATTTTCTTTGAGTGAAGGGTGAAAATATACAATGGAAAGAGAGCATATTTATATGCCACCCATCATAGTACATTTAAATAATTGTTCTATTTCTGTTTTGATTTTGAGACCAGATCTCATGTGATCCAGGCAGCTAGAAACTGGCTGTGTAGCCAAGGAACACCTTGAATTTCTCCTGCCTCCACCTTCCAGATACTGAGATTATAGGAGTGCATTATCACACTGGGTTTTACGTGGACCTGGGGACTCAATCTAGGACGTTGGGTGCACTAGGCAGGTAAGTGTTCCACGAGTTGAGCTACATCTTCAACCCCGTTCTGTTTTGTTTTCAGTTGTCCTTGTTCCTCTCTAATGATGCCTAGTTTATACACTAAACGTTAGCATGGGTGTGTATAGGAGAAAGGTTGTATGTTTTCAGCTGTTCAGACATCTGCTGGGATCTCAGCATTTAGGCTCTTGGAGAACAGGGGCTTCAGATCCCATAAGTTCAAAAGTGAAACCAAGCTTTCTCCCTACAGATCCATTTTTCTCAAAGCTACCCTTTCCTTAGATGATGAAAACTTCTTTGGCTTAGGCGGAAAATGAGTCTTCTGTGATTCCTTCATTTCCCAAATATCCTACACCTGATCTATCAGAAAAGCCTGTGGGTTCTACTGTGAAAAAAAAATCTAGAAACCAATGGCTATGCCCATCTCTGCCCCCACCTTGCTTTGAGCTAGCCCAATTTACCAGAACCTCTGTAATGGCCTCTTGGCTCATCTCCAGCTTCTGCTCTTGCTTCACAATCTCTTTTAAACACAGCGGCCAAATGCTTACAAGTCAAATCTTGTCATTCTGCTCCTACAGGCCAAGTCTGCTGTGGATGCTCAGGTCCATCAGAGTGGAAGCCGAGGTCCCAATGATGACTCTCTTCCTACCACACTGTCCATCCTGCTTTTCTTCAACACCCCGCCCCTCAGCATCCCTGCTTGGTGCTATTGCTTCAGCTTTTAGCATTACAGGAATACTCTTCCTATAGACCCTAGATGGGTCACTTCTTTACTGTCTTTGCTTAAGTCTCATCTTTTCAATGAAGTCTTCCCATTTCAAAGTTCCATTCATAAACTGTCCTCTACTCCCTTTGGCCAACAGGCACTTGTGATCTGAATCTTTCAAAATATTTATTACATTTATCATTTGTCTCTTGTTTCTTCTAATTGACTCTCCATTTCAGGACACAAGAAGTTTGTATTTATGGAGCATAGATCAGTAAGTATCTGGGCCATAGGTGTTAATAAATATTAATACTAAAATCAGCTACCTAAGGATTGAGTGTGTGGCTCAGTCGGTAGAGTGCTTGCCTAGGTTTGAGTCCCAGTACTACATAAATTGGGTGGGAGTATAGATGCACCCACAATCTCATGCCCCAAGAGGGTCAGAAGCCTCAAGGACATCCTTCCATCCCAGCCTGAGATAACATGAAACCATGTCTCAAACACAAAACAACCCCCCCCAATCTACCAAAAATGATGACTCATATACTGTCAATGATCAGGATGCTGCTTAGTGTGATGAAAAATCTAATTTTAGGAAAGTTAGAGCCTAACAGTTTATTAGAACTGTAGATGGAGCTAAAACAAAGTTGGAGAGAACCAAATGGAATTGAAGGAAAGAAGAGACTGAATGGGAATAAGGAAGAGAGACAGATACTAGTGATTTGCATATCTATATTTATATCTATCTTGTCTCAGAAAAGTACCTATTTTTTGTGGAGCTGGAAATGCTGACACATGTCTAAAATCCTATTATTTGAGATGCTGAAATAGAAGGATTTTAAGCTCCTGATCAGCCTGGGCTATAATAGTGAGTTCCTGAAAAGGTAAATCAATTTTCATGGTTAGTGTTCTGAATTTAGAAATTTATTTTTTAATTAACCCATTAACTTTGGCTATGTTATCATAGCAGTTCCATGGAATATGCGTCCCTACACTTTCCTTCAGTGGGCACATATCCTGTACCATATAGACTATGGGAGGTGCTGAGACCCCATAAGCTCTGCTCCTGAGAAACCCCACATGTGGTGGGAGAACCAGATAGACAGCTATATGAGAGTGTGGCACACACTAAAATGGAGGAGTCACTGATCCCATTCAAACAGAGAAAATTGCAGCCGGCAGAGTATATTGGATTTGCAGGAAAGGAGAAATTGGAAAGCTTATGAGATTTGAGATGCCCTGTAAGTGCAATAGGATTTCACAGGAGACAGAAACTGGTGCACAGGGTATGTTTGGGACAAGCTGAGTAGGGAGAGCATGGGAGCTGGGGTGGGGTAAGACTTGGTGTGTGCTTGGGGCTCAGTTTTTAGGTTTCTGGTTTAGGCTTGTTTCTGAAACACCTGGAAATGGCCAGCAACTGTAATGCTCTGGAGGGATGAGCTCTAGTCTGTGTTTAGGTGATGTCATGATGGTGGAGACATGGGAGCCACTGGAATGTCTCAGGCCAGGTACCCAAGGCCCAGAACCAGAGTTGTGGATGTGGGGACACAGATGAGGGAACTAGAATACTGGTCAGTCCTGTGGTTGAGTTGAAAAGTTTTGGTGACAGAGTAATCACACTGGTCAGGGGGAATATGTGGCTGAGATGGTCTCATGGCTCTGTGCAGTGACTGGGGATAAACACCCCAGAAAAGGGCTGGTACAGACTAGAGGAAGAAATGGCCTTTATTTTCAAGTGGGATTGACGTGAGCTCTTCTGTGGATAGACATGGCCAAGGGGTAGCTGGAAAAAAACAGGTTATAATTCTTCACTTAGATGTGGCAGTAGGGGTTTGAAATGTAGGAGACAGCTCATGGTGAGCACGAGATGGGGAGAGCAGCTACAGGATTTTGAGATGTGATTATTTAAGGGGTTGGTGGATGGAATCTACCCAAAAGAAGCTGGATAAGGGGCTTGAGAGAACAACAACAACAACAACAAAAAGAGCAAACAAAACCACCCAGAAAAGACACCCCCTTCCCTCTTTACTCTTCCATCTTTCAGTACTGAGGGTTGAATCCAAGGTCTTACACATATTAGCCAAGCACTCTTCTTGTAGTTGTGTTTTTGTTTGTTTGTTTGTTTGTTTTGCTTTGTTTTGTTTTTGTTTTCCAAGACAGGGTTTTTCTGTGTAACTGCTCTGGCTGTCCTGGAACTCATTCTGCAGACCAGTCTGTCCTTGAACTCACGGAGATCTCCCTGCCACTGTCTCCTGAGTGCTGAGATTAAAGATGTGTGCCACCACTGCCCCGCAGGGCTCTTATCTATGACTATGCTAAAAACAAACGCTAAAGTGACACAGATCAGTTGGCATGTGGGTTTACAAATATAGTCGGTGATTGGCTCTTTATAAAGCAGTTCCATTTGAGACTCATTCGTAGCTTCTCTCCCCTAATCCTGATCAACTAACTGGAAGTCAGGTTGAATCTGGAGAGCCAAACAATTATTCAGTCTACAAACAATAATTGCAGGGTTGCCAGCACCTCATACATATGGGATACTTACATATACTTTTTGTCATGGTTTAGGTATTGGTTTTCTCAGAATGTATGTTCTGTATTCTACCCCAGACCCATGACTCCCTAACCCCAAGATGGTAATTCAACTGTTAGAGCTGTTTGTCACATTGATCTTAGATTCCTATACTTTTTGTTTGTTAAATTATGTACTAAATTTGGTGGTACCATTAAAACATTATTCAACCCTTACCCCCTTCCTTGCTTAGCTTGTGCTATATAGTATCTATGCTAAGGCAAGTAGTCACCCAACCCTGTCATCATTTCCTGTATCAGGAACGTCTCAACTTTTGCCTGCATTACTCATTGAGAACAGAGTAGTCTAGTTCTTTTTCCTTAGAGAGTTCAAATATAAAGTTTATTTTACCCGAGGCTGTCTTGTAACACAGACTCCTAACAAGCTTTCTGCTAAATAAGATCAACAGGGTGTTGGCAACTTGGATCTGAAACAACCCTTTGGTTTCTGTCACTTGCTGACTTCTGTGATGGGCAGCTGTGACTAACTTCCAAGAGAAGTTGTAGACGTCAGCGCCAGGAAGAGGAGACACACATTTCCCCCTTGACTCTGCATGGGATGCTGCAGCTGGGAGCCACTGCATTTTCTTCTGGTTGAGAAACTCTGCTGCTTAATCATATTGCTCTTCCCTGGGGTATGGAATTGCCAAGGGAGCTGTTTTGAGAGGGAAATTCCGCAAACACACAGCCGATATGTTTAAGAAGAGGAGACAAACTGGCTGGGGAATGAAGCCCAGAGTGAGCTAAACATGACTGTCTGGCTGCCGGGTACTGTGTCTAATCAAGACAAGAAGGGGCTCAGGAGGAGAGATAACTAATTGTACACCAGTGAGAAAATATTTATTGAGCACCAAACAATGGCCCCTACCAGCTCCCTGAGGTACTGAGGACATAACAGATAAAATTCTTGCTTTATGGAACTGATATGTTGTATTTCTTATAGCTTATAATTCTTGTTCCCACCATAACCCATATAGTTGCAAAACATGCCTTGTTCTGAGTAGGACACATCATTTCTGTAACACATTGTAAACTTCCCAAGGATGTTTCCTTGTCAAGTTCTATCGTGAGTAGATGAGGTAGAGCTAGCTATCCACTGCTTACCCTTTATCTAAACTAGTTGAAACTGAGTTTTAAATGTAAAAGTTAATTTAAGTCAGTTGAATAATTTAATACTAATACAGTCACTCCTGTTATATTAGAACACTTCATCACAGATAAAAAGAGAGCCCTGGAGTCTGTCTGCAGGAATTGTATTCTAATGAAATATATACACACACAAGCTTTTCAAAGTTCATTATACAAGTATTTCCTTTGGACTTCCTAATGATAATGACCTCATTAGCCACTTTCCATCTTCCTCTCTGCTAGAAGACGTTCACAAGTATAGATGCTGCAGAGCCCCAACAGCACATATTAACGTGGGGGAAAGTAATACAAAGAAGCGTCTCAACCCATGTCTTGGGTTACTCATTCCATCACCAACAAGGGAGAGGGTGGCCATGATGTAGGTCCTGGCTTCCAGTGGAGGCTGCCTCCAGCAGCTGCTTCATCTTTAGCCATCTTAGAAATGAAACTCTCTTCTGCTGCATGGCCAACCAAGGCTCTAAAGGGCGTCATCCAGGCACAGCTTCTTCTTGCATAGGGAGCCGTGGCAGTGGACCAGGAACATCACTTAGGGCTTCTGAAGGTACCAGAATCAAAGCCTAGAACATTCTTTTTGTCCTCTGGAGCAGATTTGGCAGCCATGCTCAATGTTCCAATAAGTTTTGGACTTGGAGGCATCTAGAAAATTTTTGTTTTGTTTCAGTGGTGTGGGCATTTATGCGTGAGTGCGTGTTGTGTGTGTGTGTGTGTGTGTGTGTGTGTGTGTGTGTGTGTGTGTGTTCATATCTCCTCTTATAAATCAGCTTTAGATTCTGCATCTCTTAACACAGGAGTTTCGGAGGGTGCTTGGTGGAGCGCTCTCACCTCCAAGGTGCTGTTTCTAAATTTCTTCTCTCGTCAGGTTATTTATTGGCTACAAAGTGCCTTCCAGGAGCTGCTGAATGGACACCATATATGAGGCTTTCTGCAGAGCTTGGCTTTTTAGTTTCTTCGAAAGGAGCATGAATGGACATAAAGAGGTTTTTATTTTTCAGTTCTGCTGCTCAGTGTGTTTTTACCATACATGTAAAATCCGATCATGCTAGGCCGGGTGTGGAAAACCCCTCCAGGTGTCTCTCCGGTCTCATCACTTTGCTTTTCTTTGAGAGAAGGTGGAACCAATGAGCTCTGTTGTGGGGTACATTAGTCCGTTGTCCATTAGCTAGGGTTAGCGGCTTCTTTTTCTTTGTTGTACACTAATTCCTGGGCTTTCTTTGAAACCTGTTTTACTTCAGACATTTTCAATGCAGCCTTATTCCACCCTGCTCAAACAAAACCTGGGAGTCCTTCAACAATAGAGTTCTTTGGGCTAATCTCGGTGCCCATGGCAGCACCACAACTTTGACCTAACTCATTCCTGCTTATACTGGGAACTGGTTTTCTTTTACTGCAACACTGAAAGAAAGACCAACCAAGTTAAGAATTAAGGCTAGATACAGAGGTAGGAATTGCTCGAAGTGAGAGGTTCCTAAAATATACGGTCATCAACCCAAACTCATTTCCTTCCAAGCTGGGGATAATGGCGAAAGAACTTTGTAGAAACCCCAGTTGCTTGAGAAAGTATCCTTCACTTCCTGCTGAGCTCGGTGAGCGCACTAACCCCAAATGGCCTTAGTACCTTGGTGATTGTTTGTGGCCATGCACTCCGTGGACCAGTCCTGGGGGATCACAGGATCCAGGAGCTCTGCAAACTCCTCCAGAGGGCAGCTGTGGGTACAGCCTGGCAGCGTGAGTGGGTAGGCCTCGTGCTGGGTCTCATTCCGATAGTACATCTCCACAAAGTGTCTCCTGGTTCGACAGGCAGAGGACAGAGCTGTTAGTTCTGCAATGCAAAGTTGCCCTGTGAATTTCTTTTCCACCCTTCTGTAACATTTCCATGATTATCAGTGAAATTGGGAAGGCTGCTTTGTTAGATTAAACAGCCATGGAGAGTGAGGACCAGCATCCTTCATCAGAGAAGATGATTAGTGGAGCTGGGTGTGACTTTGAGTACCAATGAGGATGTATTATTTTTTAAGACATTTTATTTTTATATGTGTGAATGCCTGTGAGTGTATGCCATGTGTTTTGTGGATACCCACAGAGGAAAGAGGGCTTGGATCTCCTGGAGCTGGAATTATAGGCAGTTGTGGGCTGCCTGATGTGGATGCTGAGAACCAAATTCTGGTCTTCTGTAAGAGCGGTATGTATTCTCTCTCTCTCTCTCTCTCTCTCTCTCTCTCTCTCTCTCTCTCCCTCCCTCCCTCCCTTCCCTCCCTTCCTTCCTTTCTTTTCTTCTTCTTTTTTTTTTTTTTGAGACAGGTTTTCTCTGTGTAGCCTCAGCTGTCCTAGAACTAGCTCTGTAGACCAGGCTAGTCTCAAACACAGGGAACTCACAGAGATCTGCCTGCCTCTGCCTCTCGAGTAATGGGATTAAAGGCTTGCACCATTGCCACCTGGCCTTGGTTTTGCTTTTTTTTTTTTTTTCCTGTATGTGCTCTTAACTATAGAGACCTCTCATAAGATTTTTTTGTTATGTTTAAATTTTATTTTTTTTATTAGTACCCACTGGTTCCTGTTAAATACAGGCACCTAATCCTTGTTGTAGCTTTCTTTATGTTTGTATTGGGGGAATGGACTGCCCTAATTTCTTAGCTCTCATATTAAACTGGCCACATATAGAGTCCTAAGCAAGAAGGCCTCATCCTAAGGGCAGTGGGTCTCAACCCCTTTGGGGGTCAAATGGCCTTTTCACAGGGGTCCCCTAAGACCATCAGAAAACAGATATTTACATCATGATTCATAACCGTAGCAAAATTACAGTTATGAAGTAGCAATGAAAATAATTTTATGGTTGGGGGTCAGCACAACATGGGTGGCAGTATAAGGAAGGTTGAGAACCCCTGCTCTAGGAGGACAAAGGTCAGCTCAGGGGGTAAGGGAAGGGGCTTTTTTGTTCCTTGCTGCCATCTGATCTCAGGTGAGGAGACTGTTGTTTATCTTTGTAAACAAGAGAAATTTTTGCTTTCCAGTTTCCTGTTAGTGACAAAATATACAAATGGATAAAGTATTGCTGATTTCTAGAGGCGGGGCATGAGGATCTACTGAGATGCTGGGTCCCTTCTCATTCGCTCCTTTCTCTTCTCATTTCTCTTCTCTCAGGGATTCTTTCAAACTTTGTCTTATGTGTGTCTTTCTTCTCCTTCAGCAGTAAACACAAAAGTGAATAATATAAGACAACTGGGGATATGCCAACACTTCAGAGAAAGTTCTCTCGGAAGAGAACAATATGTATTCAATTCCGGAGTCATTCTAGGTAGGACTATCCCTGAAACTAACTTCTAAAAAGAAACTCCTGGGAGCTTGCATGATCCACACTGACCTGTTTGTGGGAGGAACTCACCAATGAGAGAGTCAGGAGAGAAATCCAAGTAGGACTTAATGATCTGTCTCATTATAATGACCTCAAATTTCAACTTAGAGATGTTGTTATAAGCAAGCCTTTAAAAATATCACTTCAAAGAAGGAACATGGTGACTGCAAATATTCATTTATGAGATGTGTTTTTGTTTGTATATGTGTGTGGTATGGTGTGTATATATATATGCATATATGTGTTTAAGCATTCCTATGTGTTCATGGGTGGAGATCAGAGGTTGATGTCAGATATCTTCCTCCATTGCTTTCCCTTTTAATATGGAGACAGGCTCTCCACTGGTGGATGCAAAGCTTGCTGTTTGGACTGCACTGGCTGGCTGTTTTGCCAGGATCTGCTGTCTTTGACTCCCAACACTGGGTTGTAAATACACACACACACACACACACACACACACACACACACACACCACACACACATTTTTATATGCGTGCTGGGGATCTGAATTCATGTCCTCAACTGCATGGCAAGCACTGTGTCCATTAAGACATCTCCCCATCCCTAAAATATGTTTTTTAAAAAACTCTCTAATATAAATGAATTGGTAATTATATCTCGGAGTGACTTTTTCAGTAATAGCGGCTCTTTTCTTTTTCTCAAATGGACTTGGCGACCAATAGTCTATCAAAAACATGATTATATCCAAAGACTAGACTTACGGCTCAGAAGTGACTGCATTTCTCAGACTCTGTTGCACCTCGGTGAGATCAAGTGTGTCATTTTAACCAATAGAGTATGATCAAAAAGGCCACGTGTCTTTGGAGCTGAGGTACTTGATAAACCCTTTCTTTCCACTTACTAATTCCCTTGCACAAGCTGCCTTCAGCTCTTGAAGCTGTTGGTCAAAATCCCAGTGTCTGGTCATCATCATATGACATCACATCAAAACCACCTGTCTTGACCTTGTGACCTTCTATCCCCTGTACTGGAGGCTTAGACACACAAGAGATTAGTTTCCACTGTGGGACACCTCTGAGGATTCAAGGATCATTGATGCAGAAGGAAAAGTTAATTTTATGAATTAACATATCTGCAGAATAGTTTCTAAAGTGGATCTGGTAGGGAAGATACAAACTAAAGGCATACAAAAAATGGGTAAAGTTGTGGCATAAAATGTGAAAATGGAAAAATACAAAAAATATAGTAATTTAATAGTAGTAAATTACTTTACATAACCTATGGTTTTAAACTTATATGGTCAATTAGAGAGAAAAAATCCTTGAAGAGTAGCAGGCCTGGAGAGGGAGAAGAATAACTAATACTTGTCTATGGTAACCAACTTTTTCTGATTTCCCCCATTTGAAAAGTAAGATTCTTTGTTCCTGAAGTCCCTCAGTTCCAGGTAAACTAGGACATTTGAAATCTCTAGCCTGACTTTTCTTTGTGCTTTTTTTCTTTCAGGGGTCAGGCTAGTCATCAGTGGTGGGGAGTCACAGCAGGCCATAAGGGGGTAAATCCTGCTCAGCAGCTATACTTCAAGGCTATTGGATGGTGGGTATGAGTCACCAGGAGCTGCGTGACAGGTTGGATTGTTTACTTGAAACATACTTTACATACACATCAAGCGTCTTTATTTCCTTCTTGGCATCTTGTACCAGACAGTTTTTTCCCCCAACGGGGAAAAATGTAATGTCTGCCTTCTCTTTATATTGCCTACATTTAAAAAAAGTCACTTTCTTTACTTTGGGTGGTTCTCTCAATCTATCTACTGTGTGTACATTATTTTCCAGTAAAAGGCTCATGGAATCAAAAGAGCCCAAAGTCCTGTTATCTCTATTCCTTCCCTCTAAGTATAAAACCAAGGAGTATAGACTGATGCAATGGGCCTTAATCCAACAACAACAAAATAACAGCAGGCTGGCATAGTCACACATTCCTGTAACTCTAGCACCTTGAAGGCAGAGGATCAAGACCAGCTTGTGCTACAAATTGAGTTTAGGGCTGACCCCAGCAATATAATGAAACTGTTTAAACAAATAAGCCAAGAAAGAATCTCCCAGCTGAGGAGCTGTAGAGGGCTTATGGGCAGTAGAATAGTTAGTCTACTTTAGAGGGGCCTGGTGGGCTGAGCATTCTCCAGCGGATAGTCCCACACCCATGGATATATGGGCATCACGGGTTGGACTTAGTAGAGTAACATTTATGGAGGGCATGAAGTTGGCAAAGTGTGTGTGGAGGCAAGGGTGAGTGAGGAGTAGCTCGGGGAGGATGGAGGTGGATATGTTCAAAATACATTGAATTCATGTATGAAATTCTCAAAGGATTAATAAAATTAAAAAAAAATATCTATGAGTTTTAGACAGTCTGGTCTGTATAATGAGTTCCAGGGCATCGAAGGCTACTTAGTAGGACCCTGTCTTAAAAACAAACAAACAAACAAACAAACAAACAAACAAGCAAACCCAAACTAATAATATCAAAGCAGACACTCACCCCTCTTCATGGTACAATTCCATTATGTGGCAAGCCGCATAGGGAGGGAGAATTCCATTATAAACATCTAGCGCCATCTGCAGGCCACTCACAGTAGTGTCGTGCTACAGAGATTAGAAACAAATCATTTTGCTGCTGGCTTCCTGACTCAGAGTCACACATACCAAACTTCAGTATGTGGTGGGCTACGATGATGGTGCCTCGTTCATCCATGCTCCCAATGACTTAATATGTAAGAAGGGGGAAAGAATGAGTGTCTCTTGTGTGTCTGGGCAGTAAGATTTACTCATATATTGGTTTTATTTAAAAGATAAAGAAATTGATATTCAGAGACGTTAGGCACCTGGCTTAATTTCATATGTCTTAAATAGGATAAATGTGAAGCAAACCTTCTGATTTTAAGTCCCATGCCTGTGGGGCGTCTCTTTCCCTTCTGCATGCTATACTGGCTTTCAATACATCTAGAAAGTCTGGAACACATCAATGCTGTTACATTTTCCACAGATTTGCAACATCTTTGATTTTTATTATCAAAGTTATAGAAAAGTTTCTGATGCCGAGGATGTTTAGGGAGGTTAGAGATGTAAGGAAGTGGAGAGTGAAAGATTAAAATATTAGATGAATGCAGTCCTCACTGTCCTGGAACTCAGTCTGCAGAGCAGGCTGGCCTTGAACTCCCAGAGATCTACCTGCCTCTGCCTCCTGAGTGCTGGGATTAAGGGTGTGCACCACCACTGCCCGAATGCAGTAGTTCTTTACCTTAGAGTGGTTTTTAGTCCCACTCTCGGCATGGATGAGCTGTCTAAGTTTCCATATGTATAAAATGGGAGAGCATTTGACTGCCTGGGGCTAGACCTCAGTTGATAGAGTGCACAAATCTCTGGGTTCAATCAGAAGTGTCAGGGGACTCTCTCTCTCTCTCTCTCTCTCTCTCTCTCTCTCTCTCTCTCTCTCTCTCATTTGTTGCATACTTCTGGATGCCTAAGCCGTATGGCCGTGCACACATATTAAAAAGGAGTTAGAAGCAATCTAGTTAAAGCTAAGACTTACCTAGAATTCACACAAGTCACAACTGGAACCTCATTTAGAAACTTTAAGAAACTGACAGTATTGTCTAATCCCAGGCTCTCTTCTCTCTCGTAGAAGCACTTCCCTTATCTTCCTCCATGGACTGTTTCTCTGGTCTTTTCCATTTAGAGTACATGCTGATAATAACCCCCTCCCATGTCTTCAGTCTCATCTTACAACTAAGCTAACCCTTTCCTGTCCTAACCAGTTTTATGCTGTACCCCCATCCCTCCTCAACATACACCAGTCTTCTACACTATATCCTGTTCCCAGCTTCCGGTCATCTACAGGAGGATGATGCCCCTGTTTTGCCTTCCCAGTCTTACTTCCCTGAGTGAACACCTTTGGGGGGCTTTTCACACATTACCACAGCAGGTGTGTAGGACAAGATGGTCTTTCAGGGCCTCTAGCTCGGATAGTCTGCATCGTTTGAAGACTGTCTAACAAAATGTGATGATAAAAAGGCTCTGTGTCTATGGTGTCTAGTCCAGAGATGCTGGCTGTATGGTTGCATGGTTGCATGGCTGCATGAACTGTGTAAATGTGGACAGTGCAATTGAGGCCCTTCAGCTATCTTTCTTTGCTTCTTCCTTTTATTTTTGCTTCTCCTCTTCTCCCCACCACCCCTTTTTGAGTCAAGGTTTCACTATGTAGCCCAGACTAGCTTGGAACTCTCTATGTCAGTGGTTTCTTACTTGCCTAATGCTGTAACCCTTTAATACAGTTCCTCATGTTGTGGTGACCTCCAACCATGAAATTATTTCATTATTACTTCGTAACTGTAATTTTGAATCATAATGTAGATATCTGATATGCAGGATAACTGATAAGTGACCCCTGTGAAAGGGTCATCAGCTGCCAAAGGGGTCACGACCCACAGGTTGAGAAACACTGCTCTATGCAGTCCAGACTTGCTGTGGACTCATAGCAATCTTCTTGTCCCAGCCCTCCAGATAAATGCTGAAATTACATGCATGAACTATCATATCCAGCCTGAGATTTTGTTCTATGTAATTATAACAGATTTAAATGTAAACAGTTGCATGTAGCTACAAGGTTCTATATCAGGTAGACCAGTTATCTGATAATTCAATACCAGAGTCTCCACAAAAATGTTCCTAGCTGTTCACTATTTTAGCAGTTCTTTTCACAAGCCCTACACACCAGTGAGGAACTACTTACTACCCCTTTCTCTTAATGACTCAGTGGGATGCCTGATTCAGGATGCCCAATGCATCTTTTTCCCATGACCCAGCACAGAAGGATGGCTGGTTGCCTTTTTGGAGGCACAAAGGCACTTGTTTCTAGTGGATTTCATGTTGCATTGTCTGGTGTGTATGCCTGTCTTGATGTTAGTATTCATATAACATTGTAAATTCCTCAAGGGTGAAATGATGCATTTAATTCTAGAAGCTTTGTGCAGATTTCTACCATTCTCTGGGTGATTGAGACATGAAGATGATGAGATCATACATTGAACATGTCTATGCCAAATGAACACTGAAGTACTTACCGCAGAATACATGACAAATTTTTTGTACTTCTGCGACTGAGTTGCAGTCTTCATGTTCTTGAGGATTTCATTGATCACAACACCTTAAAGGAGACAAGATCAAGAGCAGAGTTAAAGCACACTAGGCTTATATAATGGTCTGTAGGCATCTCGTCTAATTACAACGGAGAGTTCTAGCTGTTGTGAGTTAACCGACTAGGTAAAAACCTAATTTTGTCTCATAATCTGCCACATGCCAGGCAGTATGATTTCGGTCTTGTGGAAGCAGAAACTCAGAGGCATTCATGACTTACACAGCTTGGAGAGAAGAGTTGAATGGTCCCCTAAGCCCTTTCCCATCCCAGCTTTCATTAAAGCTCTAGTTAGGAGGCTGATAGACTTGGAAGTTCCCATGCTTTTCAGACCATACAGTTCATTGTTAGCCAATGATCTTTTCTAAAGGTGAGCTGAGATGATGGCATAGCAGATACTTAAATCTTCATCTCTGGCTTCTACTCTCTGGTACTCAGACCTGTGGGAGGCCATGGGAGAAAGCAGCTCTCCTTATGTTTACTCAGATCATCGACTGTTTCCTGTGGACATTTCTTTAGCATACCCAAGGGGTGTGTGTGTACATGGGGCCAGCATCATTAGCTTTCACGTGGCATTTCTGTATGCCATTTGCAGAGCTGATCTTCACTTCCTTTATATCAAAAATCTGTACCCTGCCTTCTGAGGTATTGAGAGATGTAGGCAAACAACAATTGCCATCTCCATTCCGTCTGTAGACACTGAAAGCTGGGGGAGTATCTAGCAAGGCTAGAGTCTATTTTGAGGACATACTGCCTCAGAGACATACCAATAACCTTCTGTATTGAAGCATCTCAAGAGAGTTGAGTTCTTGTACCCCTGTTGGTGATCTGGCTCAGGAACGAGTGGTGATGATGTATATTTTTGGCAATGAGAAAAACTGAAGGCAACAGTCTGACTATAATTTCAAATATGTAGTACATTCAGAAATGCACACCAAGCAGTTATGACTAGCCAGGCACAATGCTAAGTGAAGCAGCCATAACCCCTGCCCCCCAAAACTAGTGAAATAGTTACATATAGGATTGTGGGCTGATAAGTTAGTGGAGACAGGTGACCTCTTTTTTATGCGGATGCTAGGATTTCCTGGCGGTGAGTGGAAGAAACTGGATGCTGTGCCTTGAAGAGGTCCATGCCTCTGTTCCAGGGAAGGCTGCCCCATAGGATACTTGGGAGATTTCATCTTGTTCTTCATGCTACATCAGTCCTAAACTCAGTTGCTAAGTTCCTAAGAACTATCTGCAAGGAGCAGCTTGTCCTGAGTCAGCAAGGGTCTTCATTGCAGGTTGCAGTCCTGGCAATGAATATAATACCCCCTTTAGTTCTGGAGACAGTTCTTCTCTTAGTCTTGCTACCATAAGGACCCAGATGATAGGCCCTGGAATTCTAATATACTGTTGTGTATGTAGGAAAGTGATGATAGGGGAAATGCTTCTGTGTATGTGTTTGTCTTATTGGATGATAAATAAAGTACTGTTTGGCCAATGAGACAGCAAGTTAGGTGGGACTAGGAGTCAAGGAGGATTCTGGGAAATGTAGTAAAGAAGTGGTGATCCAGGCAGGAAGTGACATAGTAGGGAGACTCATATATAAGCAAGGGCAAGAAGGAAGTCGTTCCCTTTTCTCTTGTTCTTCCTCCTGGTCTCTGCTCTGGAGTCATCATGTGATCTGCCAGCAAGAGAGGGCACCAGTGGGAGGCGTCTTCAATAAGATAAGTCTTATAAAATAAATAGATTTATGGTAATTAAGGCTGAGCTAGCAGATGAGAAATCCTAGTCTTTGGCCAAGCAGCATTTGTACCTAATATAAGTCTCTCTGTGTTACTTGGGACCTTAACATGGAGGTGGGCAGAACTCTGGTGGTCTGGTGGAAAGTGCCCACATGGCAGCAGGGCTCAAGTGGCTTCCGCATAAAGACTTTTTGTTACAAAGTGAGGCTAGGCAAGACTCAGCAACACGTTCAATGTTACATGGTTTGTAAGCAGAATGGCTGGGCTTTGAAACTGGTGTAGACCATATTGAAGCATGATGGTCGATTCTAGGATTGTCTTTTTTTTTTTTACTAAATCCATATAAATCAGACAAAGCCTCATTGATTGGTAGACATAAAATCTACTTCTTTGACTCCTGAGCAAAGACTAGCAAACTTATTTTTTCTGTACAAGGCCAGGTAGTAAATATTTTAGATTTTGTGAGGCACAGGTCTGTTGATACTACTCAACTCAATAGTGGTTATCAAGGAAATAACTATAGAAAGACCAGAACACCTGGGTGTGGCTGTTTCAATAAAGCCTTATTAGAACCCCTTTCATAGCCATTGTTGGAACATCAGCTATCAATCTCTTCTGTGACTGCTGACTTCAAAATGTCTCTTCCATTTGGAGGAACATTGACTCCCCTTCTTTCCAGAGGGCTAGGCAGAAGTGCCATGACCTACCTATGTCCATCAGAATGGACAATGATGTTCAACTTGTACAAGGATGCTATAAAGGTCAGGAGGCTGGCCCAGCACAACAGGTTTTCAGGAAGGAATACACTCAGTGCAGTGGGGAAAGGCAAACGGCACAACTGTCCACATGACATTCACCCCAGCATGGTGCTCAGCATGAGGCTACAATCATACAAAGGCCTCAAAATAATCCTGAACAGAAAGCCAGATCTTGCCAAGTAGGGGAAGGAAAGGGCAAATAAAAGGAAGAAACGATGGAGGAAATGTAGGAATAGAGTAGTATTGTATACAAATCTCATTAAAAGCTGGCTAAATTGTACATAATGGGAACTTCATTTATAAAATCAGGCATAGGGCTGAGTTCAGCCTACAGGCAGTTATTTTCCAGTCCCTAGTTTATGGCAAGAATAGACAAATGTTCCTGAACTAGACTTAGGGACTTGGGGGTATGTGTGGGTACATATTGCTTAGCACTGCCAGTCACAAAACCAACTGCAAAACAAAAGTTCTAGCAATGGTTAGGTTCTTGTGTTGCTGTGTCATGGAGACAATGGGTACTTTCTATGTAGGATTGTGTCTAGCTGTTTTATCACTCAGTCTCCACACAGTTGACAAGTCTCTCTCACCTAGCCAGGTTGGAACAACAGGCTGAGAGAGTGTTTTCTCAAAACCATGCAGGAAGCTCGGCATGCACAGTGAGCTCCTATCCTCCAACAACAACAACACTCAAACAACAATTTTGTTGTTTCCAACAATGCAGGACATAGTTTTCTGGCTAGGCAAGGGCAATGGACTTCTCCCAGAAAACAGATCGGGTGGATTCGAAGGAAGCCAGCCTTTATAATCCAAGGCCAGACATCTTAGAGTAGGACTACTCTGTAAGAATCTAGTTTAATCCTCTCTTCAAATCGATTACCCATACCCTCAGAGACAAAGTAGCTTCCCCTTCATGAAATCCTCTGGAGGCCAAATTGGGGGGGGGGATGAAGTAGGAAGAGTAACATGGTAGGATGAACCCCATTTCTATTCATATCAACAAATCCCTACAACGAGCATTAGACTCCTGATATAAAGCACATTGGGATTTCATTAAACTGCAGCTTTTCATTCTGCAGGTACTGGGTGGGATCTGAGAGTCCCCCAGCTGGGGTATGCTGATGCTTCTGGCTGCATTCTGAACAGTGCGTTCCTGGACCCATCATTGATGTGGTTGGGGGAATAAACATTCACTTTCCACCTTCACTTTCCGGTGGGGTTTGGGACTGGACATAGGCCTGCTAGACCACAAATGAGGACTGCTGCCTGAAGTCCTCTGCATCCTTCGCTGTGAAGCAAGCATATAGGATGGAGCTTCTTCCATGCTTCCACTCGCAGTCTGTATCCTACTTGGGAAACGTCCCAGTATGCCAGGTTCCATCTGAGACTTCTTTCTAATGAGATGCACTGCTGTTTCCTAGAAGTCTGGAGCTTGCTGCCTTTGCTATTAGTGTGGAGGGAAGACTTGAGCATTTCTTTAAGTCTGCCTCTGTGCCATATAACCGGAACTTCTGCTGCAGCAGCTCATTAGCACCCTTAGATTCTCAATGACCATTGTCCTAAATTGTCAGCCCCAACCTACTTTATTCATCTCATGCAAGATTGCTCCTGAGCAGCCTATTCCATACCTTGTTCACTGTTTTGGTGACAGCTCCTATACAGCCCTACTTTTCTAGCTACAGTTGCCTCCTCTTCTGGCCAACTGATTTAAGTACTTTATCTAGTTATCCAATTCCTGGGCTGGTCCAGTTCCTCAAGTCTGGTCTGGTTCCCAGAGCTCTTTGCTTCTGTGCATTCTCTAAGTGACTTGTCTTGATCAAGTGTGAATATCTGCTAGTGGCTAAAATCCTGATATAATTAGACTACTTCCTCAAACGTTCAGAGCATTTCAGATGGACAAACTTTCTTCACTGTGTCAACTGTAAGCATAGGGACCTTCTCTCGTTTCCCCTCAACGTTAATGCCTATATTAGCCACGTCTGACCCCGACTCTTCCTTTTTCACATTTTGCCCTGCTCGCATTGATCTCCTTGCAGGCCCCAGTATCTACTCCATCCTGGTTTCTGTCTTCTACTTCCCTATCCTAATTATAAGGACCCAGCACCCTGCTTTCTGACTTTGCCTTCATGATGGGAGGGCGTCAAAGACTACAAAGTGCCAATTCTTACTGTGACGTGGGGTCACTGATAAACATCTTGATATCTTCCAGCACCAGTGGAAGAAGTCATATAAACTTGCCAAGTATTTGTCAAATATTGGCAAAACATATCAAGCTTTTGTCAAACTTTACACTTGTAGTGCATCCCACCAGCTACCAGACACCACCTATTCTCCTGGAACCCAGATATTAATCCTTAATCATTACATCTGGAAGAAATGAAAAGGACCATTTGGCTTTAGTCCCAAAGTCTCATTTCCAGAAGTAAAAATTTATAACCAAAGTGGGCAACATCAATCTCTTATGGCAATGCATTGTTTATGGACAGTGTGTTAGGTACCCGTTCCTGTTTGTTCTAAGCCTCCTAAATGTATGTTCATTTTAGTATTCATTGTCTCTTGCACAGTGTTCTTCTTCTTATATCCACTTTACAGAATAGAAACTGCAAGATGACAAAGTGACCCCTGTAAATCACTCAGTGGGTGAATGACAGGACTGGAACTCAGACCCAGACTGTCCAAGCGCAAAACCAACATTTTTTTTCTCACTATATAAAAAAATACTCACCACCCTGGAGTCTAGATTTCTCTTTTTGCTTGTGAATTCCATAAAGTGATAGTAGAGATAATTCTGATAACTCTTTCAACTTAGTCATGGCATCCTTGGTGGCCCAGGAGGGCAAGGTGAAATTGTGGACACTCTGCAGAAAGGGGGAAGGAGGGAAATGTGTGCACAGTTGTGATTTATGGCTTCCTTTGCTCATTTCCATTTCCTCTTCATTCTGTAAGAACAACTAGGGCCAGGCAGCCTTGATGATCCTTCCTTTCCTCTCCAAGAGTTTATGAGAACTAGCCATGGTTTTCAGATAGAAGATCTAAATAAAATAATTTGTTTTTCCCTACAAGCCTGTACCCTAATGGCTTAAATCTGGGTCAATGTATAATTTAGATTTTACAGAAAATGATGCCACAGGGCAAGGATGTGCCTCCCTCCTTTATGAGAGGTTTAGGGATATTGTTATAAAGGGAGGCTGTGTTAGTTGGTTTTTGTCAGCTAGACACAAACCAGAGTCACCGGGGAAGAGGGACTCTCCACTGAGAAATTGCCCCCCATCAGGTTTGCCTTAGGCAGGTCTGTGGGACATTTTCTTAATCGGTAATTGATACCAAAGGGGTCAGCCCACTGTGTGCAGCACCACACCAGCAGGTGGTCTTGGGTTATATAAGAAAGCTGGCTGAGTGGGAGTCAGAGGGAGCAAGGCAGTAAGTGGCATTCCCCTGCGGTCTGTTTCTAGGACAAAGGCAAAAGGAGTTAGGTGGGGTTAGGTGATGTTTCCGAAAATCAGGACTTTCTTATAAGGCCAGTTATAAAAGTCCATGTGTTTCTGGAGTCTTCACAGGTTTACTGTGAACTTCTAGTTCACTGGCTGGGGGAACATCTGTACCTCATGCGAAGTTAGTGCTGATAAATGTTAGCTAAATGTATGACCAAGCTGCAAGTAGTGCAGATACAGACCTTGTACAGATGTTTATTACCTATTAGGAAGAGTTCATTAGGATTCCCCAGTCTCAAAAGTGGGAGAAGGCAGGGGAGGAAGAGGGAGGAGGATTGAAAGAAGAAGAGAAGAGGTTATCAGAGGAGCACAGTGGAGTAAAGGGATGCAGGAGGAAGACGCAAGGGATGTGACAGTGACACCAGGTGACAGCATTGTTAAAGAATAGCTCAGGTCAAACCATATGAAGATTCTGGGGTATGACTCAGCGATAAAGCCTGGGGGCAGGATGACTGTGTCCTGGCCTTAATCTCCAGAACAAAAAAAATGCAGAGGAGAAAATGAGGAGGAGGAGAAAGAAGGAGGAGGAAGAGAAGGAGGAAGGATGAGGAGTGAAAGGAAGAAGGGGAGGAAGAAGAGGAAGGAAATGGAGGAGGAGAAAGAAGGGAAGGAGAAGAAGAAGAAGAAGAAGAAGAAGAAGAAGAAGAAGAAGCAGCAGCAGCCACCGCCGCCGACAGCAGGACTAGAATGAGGGGCCTTAAGCAAATGCTGAAGATAAAGAGAAAATATAGGCATGGTCAGGTGACCTGACTGACTGTCATGGAGATGGGTAAACTGTGTCATCTGTCTTTGAGACAGAGCTAGGAAGGTAACACTTGCCCTGCACACTCACGACCTCCATGTCAGACATGGAGGCATGCAGAGGTCAGAATCTTGCTCTAAGATACAGGAATAAAAATTTCCCCTTTTGGCCAGAAGATGGAGCCTGGTGAATGAAAAGCATTATCCGGCTACAAAGATGATTTCCATCACACCACACAGGGGAGTACTTCCCTCAGAAGCCATGGCTGACAGCCTGGCTTACAGTTGTCTGACTTATTTTAATATCCAGAAACCTGACAATTTTCTACTCTTTTAATATATAACAACACTGCTTTTTTCCCCCCCATGAAAACCATGACAGGAACCTGGCATTCCAGTGTGACTGCAAAATAAATGAGTGGCAATGTTTTGAAGAAAAGCGATATTGTTTGCAATTTTCTAAAGAGCAGAAACATAAATAATGAGAAGAGAGAAGTACAGATTTTAAGCTTGCATAAGGACATCCTGAGTTGTTTCAGTATCAAAGAGCATATAAGCAGCACATTTTTAAAAAGAGAAAGAAGATGAATGAACGTATTTGATTCAATACATACACAAAATTAGATTGCAAATGAATTTTTGATAAGTTCGTTTACCTCACAATATAAAGGATCGTAAACCTTACTCCAAATTCCAAAAAGATCCTGGCCAGGGAATCCTGACAGTGATGGCAAGGTTTCTATGAAGCTCTGGAACACAAAGAGAAGGCAAATATTTCTCCAAGGGGGCTTTTCATCATCCATAGATATTGATATCTATTGCAGGCAAGATGCAGCCAGTGATATTAGCAATGATAATGGTGACTGAAAGATTTGATGAGAGCTCCTTTCTCATAGCACATTAAAATTGCAGATACATGCTAGCTTATTGCCACATGTTCCTGGTTTGTGCTGGGTGCTGAGGGAAGCACTCTGCCTGGGACACTCTTTAGAAATGGGTGAAGTATAACACACGCAAACAAATGTCCTAAGGCAAGAAGAGAAAGGATGGGCAAAGCACACAGAAGTCTCTGGTTATAAAAATGAGATTTGGGGGATATAGGGGTTAGGGGAGTGAGTGAGTGAGTGTGTGTGTGTTCTTGTATGTGTATTGTACAAATGCAATCAATATCCATTTGTGCAAGCATTTCACTAGAAGGTTCTATGCTGTCATAACAAGGACTGTGAGGTCAGCAGTCATTTCAATTTATTTAACCTCAACAGACTTCTATCAAATAAACAGAAACAAGTATTAAAAAGTATCCCATTCCTGGGGCTGGGAAGATAGCTTGTTTTCTGGTACCCATGTGAAAAGGCACAGTTGGTGACATAAGCTTGTAACCACAGAATTAAGGTGAAGGCTGTGGGACCAGGTGGAACAGAAACTCCATCTTCATTAAGGTGATGTAGACTGAGGGTCATTGGGAACTTCTAGCCAACCAGTCTAAGAAAAGGGCAGGCCCCAGCTCCCAGTGAGAGACCCTGTCTCAAAACAAACAAACAAACAAACAAACCAAAGTGGATGGTCTTGAGGACTGATGCTTGAAGGTGACTCTGGGCTCTACATACAACTGTGTGCACATCGGCAGAAAGGAACACACACACATCCTATATATGAAAGAGGATTCCTGTTTTTCCTGGCTCAAATATAAAAACCCCAGAATGCATGATTTCTCTGAGGAACTCCATGGTGTCCCCCTTTTCTTCCTGGTCAGTTGACCACCAGTCGTTGAGGACAAAGGGATAGAAGCAGTAACTGAAAGCTTTGTATGTGGCTTGTGAATACGGCAGAGATAGCTCTCTGGGAGACAGCTTCAGTGAGTCAGCTCAACTTTATTCCAGAGTGAGGGGATACATAAAGGATGGGGACAGTGGCTGGGTCATCACCTAATTTTCATTAAACAGCAGTTCTTATCAAAAGGCTCCTAGTACAAGTCTTAATTATCATCTGTGGAAGCATGGAACTATCATAAAGCTCCTAGCATAATGTCTAATTACCATATGGGCAACAGGGGGAAAGCTTCTGTAGGGAACTGTGTCAAGGGTCAAAGGAGAAATAGGTCAAGCACCCAGGCCTAGAGACAGTCTGCAAATAAGGTCAGGTAGAGAACAGGGTGCCTTCCACTGGGGGGAGGGAGTCTTCCATGTTGTTGAGCTAGGAGAGAGCTGCCAGTCTATGGTAGACTGCAACCTCTAATCAGCAGGGCCTCCCAGCAGAACTCTATCAAGCTCTTTAAGGGAAATTATCCTAATGCTATTTTAACTGCTCAGGAACATTAAAGAGAGAGAGGAAACTCAAAATGTTCATGCACTAGTTGTAACACCAAGGCTAACAAAGACAGCTTAGAAAATAAAATGGGTTCAATGTCACTTGTAAAATCACTACAAAGCACAAAACACTAGCAAATAATTCAATTTCATGTGAAAGGACAAAGACTTGATTTGAGGAATATAAAGATAGTTCAATTTTAGTAAACCTTTGAATACAGTTAATCATTTATTCAAGGAGGAAGATGATTACATTGAAAAACCTTTCAAAGGATGAAGAAATTAATTGATTTTTTTAAAAAAAACACTCATTAAGTCAGGGAAAATGGATATATTTTGTTTTGTTTAGTTTTGAGACAGGGTTGCTATGTGTAGCCCAGCATTGCCTAGAATTCTCTGTGTATCTCCGGTTGGCCTACAATATATGGTTCTCTTCCTGTCTCTGCCTCCTGAATGCTGGGATTATAAATGTGTTACCACCATGCCTAGGGATTGGACACATCCTCAACTTAATAAAAAAGAAACTACTATATTTTGGCCCAAAAGTTAGCACACTTAACAGAAAATATGTAAATTAAGAATAAGAAAGTGTCTACTATGACACTGTCGGTAAATAAATTAAAATAAATTATGGTAGATCAACTAAAACACTGCACATTTGCAAAAAATTGAGGAGATATTTTACATATAAATATAAGATATTTTCCAGATATTTTATTAAGTGATACATTTTTTCTTTCTTTTTTTCTTTTTTTTTTTGTTTTTGTTTTTTTGAGACAGTTTCTCTGTGTGGCTTTGGAGGCTGTCCTGGAACTCGCTCTTATAGACCAGTCTATCTCAAATTCATAGAGATCAGTCTGCCTCTGCCTCTCAAGTGCTGGGATTAAAGGCATGTACCACCACTGCCCAGCTAGTAATACAAATTTTTAAAAAGTGGTCGGCCTTGTGATTGGTATAATGCTTCTGTGAAACAAAAGGGAAAGCTATCTATTTGACTATGCACAAGAAAACTGGAAGACTACATAGAAAACAAACATCATAGGTCACTTGAGGGGGGCTCATTGAAAGACCATCATATTCTATTGTGTTTACTTTTTATGTTTTCAATCCTTAGACCATATAGATGTGTAACTAACTCAAATGGTTACTTTTTCAACATCCAAATGATCATGTCTTCCTTTTGTGCCATCCTGAAAAGGGAATATTTCATGACAGAGAATGACATACACTATAAAGAGGAAGATGGGGGCGGGGGGTGGGGGGGTGGGGGCGGTTGGGGGGGGGGG